TTTGTGCTCAATAAATCGAGGGGTCACTGACAGGTTTATGATGAAATGTTCTTGTCTGAAAAGTCCTCCAAAAAAAGCAGGTTGAGAGAAAACATAAGCTGATCACCTGGCGATCCTTCCAGTAACACACTTCCTGTCCTAGGGTGACAGCACTCACTCCATGGGCTGTATCTATTGAGGAGTGTTGTCCCCCCTAGGAAAAAAAAAGAGTATTAAGACTACAGAACACTACCTTCTCTCCCCTCCTTTTGGATGTTGGGGGTTGCATTACAGCCTTGGTCATGTGACTGTTGTTTACCGTTCTGAAATGAAAATTTGGATGGATATAGAATTTAATAATCGAAAGAAATAAAAATCTGAATCGATCCGGAAAAAAAACACATTTTTTTACGGGGTTACATGTCTACTATCCACCTCATGGGGCCGTCCACCTCATGGGGCCGTCCACCTCATGGGGCCATCCACCTCATGGGGCCATCCACCTCATGGGGCCATCCACCTCATGGGGCCATCCCCCGCATGGGGCCATCCACCTTATGGGACCATTTACCTCATGGGGCCATCCACCTCATGGGGCCATCCACCTCATGGTACCATCCCCCTCATGGGACCATCCACCTCATATGGACCATCCACCTCATGACATCATAAACTCCTCAGTACCTTGCTCCTTATGCATTTTATACAACATGACCATAGTTTCCCAACACTAGACACAGAGAAAAGAAAAGATGGAATAGTATAACTCTCCATGTATTGGCAGAAGGCATGAAAACTCATTGAATTGCTTACAAATCCGTATTGCACTTAGCACTATGTACTTCACAAAGATTCCAACCATCATCCAGCCCTGCGATCCCCCTACACACTCCTATCATGAGAACACATCCTCCTCTGCCCGACACGTTTCATCATGTGTGCTACCTCAGGGGCCACAAGGGATAGATAATTATATCAGCAGAGTTTGCTGTTCTTCTTTCATTTGGACTCGATGAACTTTTTTTTAATGTTCCATTTGCTGAAGCTCTTTAAACTTCTTCGAGGTGTTGCTGTTTCTATTTCTGCCTAGGGAACGAAGAGCTTGAGCAGGAAAAGTAAAACTTCAGAGGACGGAGCTTATAAAGTACAGCCGTGCGCTGGACCCAGCGTGGCGCACTGATTTAATACAGCGCCGTAATATGTGTAATTAGAGCCGACCTGTCATGCCTCCTGGAGGGAGTACGGAGAGGATGGCGTACATAATCCCGGGCTTTGTATCACTCAAGTTACATCCAGCAAATCCATTTTGTAGAAGTCTCCGCAGGGATCGCCGCGCTCAGGTAGAACAATCTCAGCAATATTTTCATATTTAATGGCACTAATGCCGCACGCTGAGACGTCTCCTCGCGTCACCTCTCCGGCCTCCCATAGAATTGGGATCAGTGACGCTTTTGAGGCAAATAATTGATGGTACCTCATTGTAACATATCCGCTGAGTGAATTGCTTCTGTGGGAACCTTTGCTTAAATTGGAACTCCTGCTAAACACTGAAATTAGTAGTTGTAATAAAATAAATCATATAATAACAATATCAGTCTTGTGATTAAAGGAGAACTATGA